TCTAAGCACTGTTTTTCTCAGATTACTACATGTATTTTGTTGTCATTCAATTTTAAATATTTTGTGATTTTTCATTGTGATTTCTTCTGTAACCCATGATTTATTTAGAGAGTGCATGTTTAAGTTTCCAAGCAAAGGGATTTATTTTAGCCTGAAACAAACAAACAAAAAAACTGTTGATTTTTTAACTCAGGTGCACTGTGATTAGAGAATGCAGTCTGTGTGATATCAATTCTTTGATAATTAGGACTTGTGTCCTTGTACCCATTCCATTTTTGCACATCTTCCATGTGTTCTTGGAAAGAGAATACATTGTTTACTTCTGGAAAGCCAACATATATACTCAAGTTTACATATTTGTGTCATTCCAGGTTTGGTTTTTTTTTGTATTCTTAATAATTTGCTTATTCTATTACTGAAAAAAGCATGTTAAAATCTTTATTAATTGCAGATTTGTCAGTTTCTCCTTGTAATTCTATTGCATACCATATGGCTGTGTACATAGTTGTTCAAGATTGTTTAAACTTCTTGTTGAATTCCTCTGCTTATTATAATGTAATGATGAACCTAAGTTTTAAAAATATTTTATTGTTTTATTTTTGGTTATTCTTATGCCAGCTTTGTTTTTGTTGGGATTTGCCTGGCATATCATTTTCTACCTTCTATTTTCATTCTTTTGGTGTAATTTTATTTTGCATGTGTTTTGTAAGTAGTATATAGATGAATTTACTGTGTTTTTTTAGCCACTCTGCTGATCTTTGTCTTTTCGATAGGCAGAGAATGAATGAATTATACTTTCTAAATTCATCTTCATTTTCATAGTGAAGATGAAATTTTAAAAATTTCCTTTAAAATGGCAAACTCTCTCAAACTCAGTATGTTTGCACATATAATTACTTCTTCTTGGAATGGCCTTTACCACTTTCCTCTTTCTTAAGATTCAAATGCCTCAGTTAAAATGCTCCCCCCCTTTATTTTTCAGAGAAGCTTTTCTCTGACCCATCTCTTTTTAAAGTAGCACCCCCATTATTTTCTATCTTAGTACCTCATTTATTTAATAACACAGAAGTTATTTATAGATAGATAATTTAGTGATATTTGTATTAATACTATATTATACTAATCATTTTACTTACATGTGGATTATTTGATTTTAGTACAGGGAGAAAGATAGGACAATATCTCTGAAGGGGTAACAAGGCCGAGAGTAGGTATTTCAGGGCCGGGAAACCTGGAGTAAGTAAAGAGGTAGAAATAAAGGCTATTCATGAGTGGGGGAGAATGACTATGGGAGTACCTTTACAGAGAAAAGGAAATAATATGTCATCCCTGAGGACCCTGGGGGAGGTGAGATAGGGGTAACTGCAGACATCCTTAGGGAAGTAGAGGTTATAGAAAAAATTGCCTGCATCAGACCTGATTTACTGAGTAACGAACGAGTGGAGAATAAAGGGAGCTGAGAAGGCTTGGAATACTTGTCAAGTGGGGTGCTGTAAGATAATAGGGGTGAGGCCCCAATTTTAGTTTGAGTGACATTACAGTGGTTTTGGTTCTGAGTATTCATTGGAGAGTGCCTTCTGGTCTACCACTGTAGGCAGTGAGTAGACATGATGCAGGGACTGGTTTCAGTTACATAATACGTGAATGTAGCCTTGATCTAAGGTAGAATGGTATGGATATATTAGGAACACTATGTTAAGAAGGGGACCTGGATTCTCATCCCTACTGTGTTCTAAACTACTTGTGTGATTTGGGGCACCTGCCTTCCTCCGAATTAGAAAGGGGTTGGGCTTGATCATCTCTAAAGCCCTTTTCAATTTTCAAATGATGCGAGTGTATGCAATAGATGGAGTGGAGTGATTGAAGGTTCAGGTAAAAGTGGGTGATGGGTGAGAAGAAGCGAGAACAGGAGGGTCCTTGTGATAACTTTATAACAACACGGTCTAACAGTGTACCTGTAATTGTATTTGTACAGACCTTGTTTTCAATGTTCTTCACAAATGTGATTTCATTTTACTTCTGTAAAAATGTAAGTTGATAGGGATAATCATGAATATCCCCATTTATAGCCAGCTAGCTAGAGGAAAGGACGTTTAAATTTAAGGCTAAGTCCAGTCATTCCTCTAAGAATGGCACTGGCAAGCCAGACTTTTTACTCCTATTTCCTCATCTGTAAGATGAGGGTGGTTGGCTTTTATATCAGTCTACCTGAATTTTAGGTAGGTAGGTTTGTAGATCAGAGAAATATTGTTCTCCACTTTTCTTCATGGTGTTCCCATTCCCCAAAGGCAACCAAGATTATTAGGTTTTTAAAGTGTATCTTCCAGAGAAATTTTTTGCCAGTGTAAGCAAATGGTGTGTGCATATATTTCCATCCTTTACCATTTTTTTTCACTACAAAGAGGAGTCTATTATTCACATGTTTTTTAACTCTTTTTTTTTTTTCCTCCTCATATTTTGGAGTTTACGTTGGAGGTTTGATCATTTCCTTTTAGGTGGTTGCACAGTGTAACTTTGTAGGAATGTATCATAGTTTAGTTAACCAGTCTTTACTGATGGACGTTTTGACTTGTTTCAGTCTTTAGCTATTAGAAGCAGTCTGTAGTCAGTAACAATAGTTTATTTCTGTGGAATAAAGTCTTAGAAGTAGTATTACTAGGTCAAAGGGGAATTCTACTTTCTAGTGTTAGCATTGTCATCCTTTTCCCCTTGCTTCATGTAATCTTAGAAAAAAATAGAATTTTATAGCTAGAAAGGGATTTAGGTACCATCAAGTTCAGTGGTTTCAAAGGGTGGCCCTTGGGCAGCATCTTGTGGTACGTGATACAAATGCAAATTTGCGGGACCCACCCCAGACTTCCTGAATCAGAACTTCTGGGGGCACCCCAGCAATTTGTGTCAGTGGCTGATTTTACATATGAGGAAGGTATGATCAGAAACGTGAAGTAACTTACCAAGAATTATACAGTCATTGGTGGCCTCTTGTATTTCCACTATAACTTGCTGTTTTTCTTGTGTTTTAACTTAAAAAGACATTTTGTTTTTAAAGTTTTCAATATAAAAAAATTGGTCTTTGGTTCAATTCCTACCTTTTTCATTTGTGCTGCTTCTCTGTGTGTTTTGGAGCATAGCAAGTTCAAATGCATACTATTTTGACGTTTTCATCATGATTCTTTAGATTCAGCTGACTTCTTAAAACCAAACTTTAAATTGGCTCCCTGTACTTTTTCACATACAAGCCTCTGTGTTGTCTTAAGGGGTGATCTCCGACTCTTTCTCAGACTCTTTTCTCATCATGCCATGCCATGCCTCCCTTTAGAATTTCCAAACTGTATCCTGTTCTTAACTACATCTACGGCTTGCCTCATGCCCTCTCTTACCGTTTCTTTCTCTGTACTACCGAAACCCTGTTTTCATCTGTTCCTGTGTTCTTGAGGCATTTGGAGCTTCCAGATTGAATGAATCAGTACACCTTCTCCTTCCTGTAGCATTTTGTTTTTATTTCTCTTTCTGTATTTGTGCCTGGCTTTAATTTATTGATGTGCATTCATATCACTGTTGTGTTCGCTTATACGCTCCTTGAGGGCAAGGACCATGTTTTTATTCAGTGTCAGTTCAGGCTCCTTATACCCTCCTTTATACTTACTAGCTGATGGATAAATATTGGTTGTATTTATTCTCATGCACAGTTGGGTATCAGTGAAAAAGAGAACATATTCTGTGCTACCTTTGATATCTGTAACTCTGTCTAACCAGATGTTTAATAAATAAGTATGGTATCAAGAGGGTTTCTTTTTGTTGTTGTTGTTTTGTTTTGTTTTAGGTAAGAGGATGTTTTAACTTCTAAAAATTCTTACAAAATTTTAGTTACTATCTTAAGTTTACTGTGTTGTGCTGAATACCCCAAAACTAAGACAGGGTGTATCCTGTTGATGGAACTTCACATTCTAATAAACCACAAAATATTCTCAGGATAGCTCACCACACTTGTCAAGGGAAGAATATATATCCTTCACTATGTGAAAATAGTGGACATTTTATCATTTTTATTTCATTTTCCCCTCAAAGCCTTATAATGTTATATTTAAACAAAATCTCATTTTTTGAGTAGACTTAAAATATACTTTAATATTTTGAAGAACTTTTGAACACATTGGAGATGATTTTTTAAATGGTGGTTGCCTGATTTGGGTTCATCAGGCACATATTCTTATGAGCTGTCTTGAGAAATGGAGATGTTATGGCTGGCTTAGTGCCAAAGTTAACAACTTTGAAAGAATTGTGCCACTGTAGTAATTTTGAAATTATTTTTCTCCAAGACACTTAATTTTTGTCAATTTTTAGCTAATTGTGTGGGAAAATGGAGACGTGTGGAATGCTTCAATGAAATTTTATGATCAGAAGTAAATTGCAAAAATAAATATAATAGATTATCAGCTCATTTAGACACTTGTATTACCTTAGCAGTTGTATATTGGAAATTTACATACAGCAGTGTCCTTAATTACTGTTTTAAAAATCAACAGTTTTAACCTTATTTTAATGTTGTAAGGTTGTAAATTGGAAGTTATTGTTATGTCATACCAAACATAAGCATAACTATTTTGTCAGCGTCCCTAGAATCAGTTAAAAGTTCAGATACTAGTACATGAGAAGGTAGAAAAATGTTATTCTTTTTCAGTCCTTAGGAATTTATAGTCGGCATAAGAGACTTGACGCGAATGAAACAGGAAGCATCCTACACAGTAGCTTTCAAAATTTCACAATGCACCATAACTAATTTTTCAGAGGTATCTTGGCAGCTTTAATTTAGTTTGCCAACAAGTTATTGTTATTTGTCTATAATCAACTAGAAATTTATGCTGTTCATATCATCAGAGGCAAGCTTTGCTGGATGGCTGATAAAGTAAAGCTCTGTCCTGTCTGTAGTTCTTGTGACTAACATCTTTTTTTTTTTAAACCAAAATGCGGAGTTGAGTTTCTCATTGTTTCTTTTTCAGTGAGCATTTGTCCTGTGCTTTCACGTTCTTTCTTCATGGGGAAAGTAATGTATGCACAAGTGTGGAGATCGCCCAACACCAGCCAATTTATTTGATCAATGAGGAGCATATACACATGGCTCAGTCTTCACCTGCACCATTTCAAGGTAAGTAATAGTGAGGCCCCTGCTCTCCACCCTTCTCCCCTGCATTAAGTGGCTGCTAGCGACCTTGCCCCGTAATGTTTTGCAGAATGAAATGTCATCTTAAATGGACATTTCAATGGTAAGCATAAAGGCCAGTTTCTGACAAAGAAAGGAAAGACTACCATATCACACATAAATAATAAGAGCTTGCTAGTTTTTTGCTGAAAGCTTATTATGTACAGTGTGGTCTTATGCGAAGTTGTATTGAGGAAAAAAATGTGGAGAATGAACAAAAGAAGATCAATAAGCATTTGAAAAAGATCCAATGCATAATGGACAAATCTTATAAATTAAAGGTTTTCTTGTTTTGTTGTTTCATGGCTTCAGAAATGTAATAATTTGCGGATAATTCCTATTGACTTAGTATTTGAAATCTCAACCAAAATCAAATTTCTAGAATCATGTAGTATATAGTTTCTTTAGTAATGTTAGTATCTTTATTATTTTCTTTTAATTACAGACTACATTAGTTGTAGGCATTTGTTTGTAGTTTAACTTACATTCATATTTTTATTCTCAACTTATCACCTAAATGTCACCAAAATAACTCCATGTCCCTTTCTCTAACTGTGCATTCTATATCTTTGGTTTTGTCTTTGGAATTCAGAATTTTGTATGAATAACTTCTAAAATGTTGTAATATTAAATTGAACCATATGGAAAAATCTTTTTTGGTTCAATCTGATTTATCATTACTAGAGATGTCTGACTGAGATAGCCGTAGTGTAGCACACACTGTAATTTTAAAAAACACTAATATTTAAATAGACTTGACTAAAGTATTTTTATTGCTGTAACAGCCTGTCATGAGTGTTTAGCCTCCATATTATTTATGATTGCTTTTTGGTTTTCAAATTAAATCAGATGACTCTGATTTAATTTGATGAAAGCATCTGTTTCTTGCCCTAAAGATATTAAACTTTTTTTTTTAAGGTAAAAAAGAACGTGGAATCCTCATTTAACTGTGTCCTAATTATTAGCTACTTTTGCCCTCACCCCCATTTGCAACACATTTTAAGCTATATATTTTACTATTCTGTAATTTGGGGTGTTTTCTGGATGTACTACTGTAAAAAACAACCCAATTCTAAAACTGTACACTTGAGAGTTGTGCAGTATGTGCATATTATGGATTGTCAGAATTATTTAAATACTATGTTTCCTTGACTGTGAAAGGTGTGGTGGAACATCTGACTTCATTCTAGACTTTATCACTCAAAAGAAAAGCATTTATTTATGATAACAGAAGGAATTAATAGCCATGAGGGTAGGTAACTATCCTAAATTGGTGAAGATAATATTAAGCATACCAGGACTCTAGAGACCACTTATTTTAAATCTTGCTGGTTTATTACTAGTGCCTCAAATCATAGAAGACTTTCATGGGGCATTATCCTGCTCATTTCCCATGACTGGTGTGGAGGAGGTGCATTCTTAGGGCAGGTGCTGGTCTATAGATAAGTATAGTGAACGTAATTAACCATATTGACGTGGGAATTTCCTAGAAGTATTACTGTAACTATAGGAAAATTGTCTTGATCAACTGTGTGGGTTAGAGTCAGTAATTTTATTCCGTTTGGATCAGCGAGCAACAGCACAAAGGCACCAAGAAATATGTGATGTCTACAGCTATCTGTCTTGATTGACGTGATATATCATCCAGATGTTAAAGAATAAAGACATTAGAAAGAGGATATCCCATTTAATAACTATGCTATGATTTTTTAAAATCAGGATTAAGAAAAAGTGACCTTTATCCCCAGAAAATGTTATTCGGGAGGTTGAAATACTCCCCCAGAGGCTAAGAATTGGCTGGGTTACACACAGTACTATGTTAACTACATTTTGTGTGTCTAGCTCAGTGAAAATGACATCAAGGTTAAATACTGCAAGAAAAAGAAAGATTTTGAGTCCTTTACTTTAGTAAAATATATTTTATTTCATCAGCAGACCTCTAAAACCGTCATAAGTGAAATTATCACTAAGCCTGTGTTTCAGACTTGGTAAGCTAGGACTTTTCTGCTATTAGAAGTTTATTTATATGTTAATTTTTAATTTCCACAGAGTTTATGAAGTCTCAGGAACCATAGGAACAGTGTTCAAGTTCTAGGCAGGTTTTGGGGTTCTATGTATTGGAATGTGTTTCTTTTGTTATAGAAGATTCAGTGTTTATTTACATTGTATAAGCTATTACCAAACAGATGTGTGGATGTTTTAATATATACATAGTTTATATTTTGTGTGTTGATATAGCTGTCTGATAGTGTTCTATCTCCCCCATTTGATTTCATTCACAACCTGCTGTGACTTGAGAGGCATATAAATAAGTACTAAAATGAGAGGAATCACACTTTAAAAGGAGTTAGGAAATAAAGAGCAATATACATGAAGTGATGCTATGCTTAACTTACCATGTACGTGGCATTAGACTTAGGCAGGAATTATTACTCTGACCTGTAACATGTGTTTCTCCTCCCTGCTTCAGTACTGGTAAGTCCTTATGGATTAAATGGCACACTAACAGGCCATGCATACAAGATGTCAGACCCAGCCACCCGGAAGTTGATCGAGGAATGGCAGTATTTCTACCCAATGGTGCTGAAAAAGAAAGAAGAATTGAAAGAAGAGGAGTTGGGATATGACGATGACTTCCCTGTGGCAGTAGAAGTCATTGTTGGTAAGACAAAGTATTTTGCCTGAAGAACCTTATTCTCTCTTCTTCATCTTCCTTAATTTAAAAAGATAATCAGACTCATCAAAAATAATCTCCATAATTTCCCCATCTTTTTCCCTTTAATTCTCTTGATGCAGTGGTATGCGCTGAGTAGTTATCTAGCCTGAAGCACCAGTGGTCCCTGTTTCCAAATGCTATTATCATAATGTTGGAGCACGTGTTAAACAGCTATTAACTTATGAAAGAATGGGACGTATCACTTTCTACAGTTCCTAATGAGCATCTCATTTTCACCAGTGAGCTTTGACTGTCACCACTGGAATGATAAGTTGGCAGTGTGCTGTGAACTTTTTCTCAGGCCTGGTTTTCTCCTTGCCCTCTTTCCCTCCAGGTGGTGTTCGCATGGTCTATCCTTCAGCGTTTGTTCTGATCTCTCAGAATGACATCCCAGTTCCTCAGAGCGTTGCCGGTGCTGGAGGCCATATTACCGCTGGGCAGCAGGGACTGGGCAGTGTGAAGGACCCGAGTAACTGTGGGATGCCTCTCACCCCGCCCACCTCTCCAGAGCAGGCTGTCATAGGTGAGTACAACCCAAGAACGCCCTGGGTGGAAGAGATCCCAGCAAATCATGGTGCTCCCTTGCCATGGAGTAGGTGAGAAAACACACAGTGACAAGTTCCGGGTGGAAAAGATGGAGGTAGAGTAACATGGGCATTTTACAAAATGGAGAAGGAAACCTGTAAACAATTTAGGTGTTTCTCTTAAGTTCTACACAGATCCCCGCCCCTTTGTACACATGTGCACATGTGTGCATACATACGGTCAGGAGACAAAAGGTAGGCTGCTTTTTTATTGTAAACAAATGGAAAACACTAAATCAGACAATGACGGAAGCTTTTGCTCAGTTACCACTGCCAGACTGGACAAGTCTTGGATAGTTTCTTCCCTATTATATTGTAAAGTTAGACTAACATGCAGGAGCGCTCAGAAAAGGCTTTGTCCCAGCAGTAATCTCTCTCCATTAATGATAATTATTATTACATGTGAAAAATTGACAGTTTTCCATCATGGAAAAATTCAGAAATTATTTAAATTGGGAGGATTTTGCCTCCTTTGTTGGACAGTATATTTCCTATATGAAATTTTGTGGTAGTTGGCATTAATTGGAAATCTGGTCACTGAGGAAAGGCTATTCATCATACTGAAGCTGAAATGGGATTATTTATAGACATTTAATGGGGGCCATGTTGGCAGGAACATCAGAATAAAGTTGTGGTTGCTGAACTTTGAAAATAGACTCTCAAGCATGATACACACTTAAAGGTAATTTCCGTGAGGATTAGATAAGACATTATTTCAAAGTTTCTAGCATAGTGCTTGGCACCTATTGGACATTCAATAATACGTTCATGGTTAAACAATGTGTTGGGGAAAGTATAGACTTTGTGATTGAACACATCTAATTTTAAAACCTGTCTACAGCTCTTATTAGGTGAGTGACCTTATTTAATTCTCATACTTGTCCTGAACCTCAGTTTCCTTCTCTGTTAAATACTACATACGTTATAAGATTCTCATACGTATTAGGTAATGTACTTGACAGTGTTGTATAAACAATTACGCAATATGTAAATGATAGTGTCACACATTTAAAGAAGTACCCAAAACTCCAGTTTCAGCACATGTTATTGTTATCTGGAAGGAATTCCTCAGTCGTCATGTGGGAGACCTAGAAATGGACAACATGGAACCTCTGTTTGTATGAGCCAGGTTGTTGCTAAGACGGTGAAAAATGTCCATCCAGCTCTAATAATGGCAGAACAGAGAATTCGGATGATCCCTCGGGAAAGGATTTAATCAAGCAATTTTTATCAAAACTACTTTCAACTGGAAAACTACCATTACAGTTTTTTATAATAATCACCTTAGGCAAGATACATTAATATAAAGACTAGCATTAATGTATTTTGAAAAGTTTTAATCACATTTCACATAAAGGTTTGGATTTTTAACAGTTGTACTTACATAAGTTGTCATTCGTTTTTGTTTTGCCTGGTACAAACCAGTGACGTTTGTATTCAGCTGAAAATTGCAGGCCTGCTGTGTGCATGGTACCTTGACCTCTGATTGATCAGTTCAGAACTCTAAATTTATAACTCAAAACCAAGAGTTTTTGTTTATGGTGGTTTCAGTGTGGCCTTTATAACGGTATATTTCCCGGTTCCTTCCCTCTAACTCCTTATGTCACTGTGCTAGGCCCTGGGTGAATAAATCGCCTGATGCCTCCTCCTTAAAACAAACAAACAAACAAACTAAATAGAAGCTACTGGAATCTTTGTCACAAAATGAATGTGTTCACATGTTCACATCGTGATATGTTGAATTATAGCTCCGGACTCTTGATGCTCCATCAGGAAGAACCCTCTCAGCCTTGTCATCTGCAGCTGACTAACGTTGAGCATTGCTGTGTTTTCCTAGGGATGGGACAAAGTGGGTCACTTTGCCCCCTTCCATGCCTAAGGGTGTCGTACAGTAGCAGGGGACCTAGGCGGGACACTAGTTTTGGTGACGTCACTCAGGCCTCACATGGGTAGCATATCAGCTTGCCCCTCTATTTATGGAGACAGTTGTAAGAAACAGCATTTCTGCATGCATTTAACAGCATGGAGCACAAGTCTTGTTTAATTTCATGTAATATATCACCCACATTTTTGTTAAATCCTTTATTAAAAGCTGCTGAAAAGCATTCATCCAACTTTAATCACAGGCGACTCTATGGTTTGTTTTCCTTACCCCTCTCCTCTTCTTTTTGGTCTTAAGTGATTCCCTCTAATACCATGGCCATATGATCTCTTCAGCTATAGTGTAGGCTGTTTGGGGGAGAAGGGCTGTGCTGTCTATTCCTGCTGTTTGTTTCTTCACTTTGCCCAGTTTTTGAATAGGCATTCGAAAACCCATTATAAAATTGAAATGAATTATTTTGCACCATGAACCAGGTCAGGGAACTTTTAAAATAAAAGGTAACAATGAAGGGTCAAATTTCTTGTCTCCTTAATTTTTCTCATTTGTAATATAACAGTACTTTTCTGGAGAACAAGAAAGCTTCATTCCTTCAAATGTAAGCATTTGGGGCTGGTCTTTTTTCTTTTTTTTTTTTTTTACAAAGAGAGCTGAGCCTAACCATTCAACTCCTAATGGTTGTGTTGCATTGATACCAGGAATATTAGTTTGTATCCTAAGGTTGCTTTTTTCTTTTTCATATGAGAGTGGAGGTTTCCGGAGTGCTTAACATTATTTTGGTTAAGATGTTTTGCATCATAGTTCTATTCAGAATAAAGCCCACAATATATTTATGAAATCAAATAGGTGAAAGTAATTAAAATTTAGTACTGGAAATTAAGTATTTGTTTTATACGAGATAAAAGTAGTAAAATACTCATAGTATAACCAGGATTATTAGCAATCGTAGTGGACGTAATAGAAATGAATTGCATACCAACTCTAGTTGGAAAAACAATGTGGAATTATTAGAGAGAAGCCAGTGAATTTTTAATCCTCTGATATAAAATGTCGAGACAGCTCCTTTTAGTGTTTTAGTACTAAGCTTTCATAAATGGTGTCAGGCATAAGGACAAACAGTTCCACACACAAATTTGAAATTTGACCTTGTTGAAAGCCTGTGCCATTAAGTTTTTTTTCCTACCCAGGGCACTGTGTGCAGTTGTTACACAACCATTTATAGCTAAACAAGCATAAAGCTCCCTCTACTGTTTTGTTTTGCCTTGATTAAACTTATTTATTGCATTGGGATTTAGAAATTCAAAACAGCCCATGCTCGTTTATATCTTTGACATTCCGATATAGGAACCCTTCTGTATAAGTTACCTCCAATATTCATGGAGTAGGAGTGCCTCTGTGTTGGAATGCCCTTGAAGAGAGTGTGAGCATGTCAGTATTGATGTGATGAACTATTTTAGGGAGAACACAAAGAATCATACAAAGTACCAGAAAAAAAGGCTGAGCTGACACAAATTATACTCATAGCTACAGATAGCGTTATTGCCAGGGGGTAGGGGCAAAGCTGCATGAATATGAGTTTCAACAATGAAAATATCTTTATGTTAAATAAGCCAGCAGTCTACACACTGGAAGACCTTTTCAGAAAAATGACATTCCAAATTGTCTTTGTTTTCCAGGTGAGAGTGGAGGTACGCAGAGTGCTGTCAGTCACTTAGGCTCCCAAGACGGGGGGATGATAACTATGCACAGTCCAAAGAGATCGGGGAAGATTCCTCCAAAACTCCACAATCATATGGTCCATCGAGTCTGGAAGGAATGCATCCTCAACAGAACCCAGTCCAAGTATGTCGATTGCATTCCATCTGCATCGTGGTTTGGTAACCGTGTCTTTGATTACTACGTGAAGAGGGCCAATCGCATTGCACCACTGTGTGTCCAAACCTGAGGGTCATTGGATTGGTATTTCATCTTGCTGAACATAATAGTATAAAATTCAAAACAAAGATGTTAAAATACGGATGTTTACTGTACGTGATTTGATTATCCAGGACAATTTTGAAGTTTCTGATCATCTCAGTATTGGCCTGGTGTTCATCTGACATTCCTTAGCGTGATGGCTGAGGACAGTAATCAGTGGGTTTGGTTTTCCTTTGCACAACAATTTACGAATGTTTCCTATTTACTAAGGGAAATTACCTCCTTTGCCATGTTTCCTATTATTTATTGACCTCATGTTTTAACTGACAGTACATTTCGGGACTGAATTGATGGCAGTTCGAGGGTGTTTACCAGCTGTTGTGCTTCTGTTTTGTTGACTTGGGGAAACTATATTCTTTCCTTCCTCCCACCTCCCTCCCTCCCTTCCTTTCCCTCTCTTTCCCCCTTCCTTAACATATTTTTGGAAAAGAGGAAGAATTGATTATAAGAAGAGACTACTGGTGATTATTTTAATTGTGAGTGATAAGGACAAACAGTAGTCAGTAATCAAGATTTATGTAAACATTCACTTACCAAGATTTACATAAACATATTTAGCATATTTTCATATTTTTTGTGATATGACTGAGATGTACACTTTCTTGACCTATGTAAGTAAACAAATGAGTTTTGATTTTCTGGAACAGAATAAATGTGGACATTCTTGCCAATAGCTGCTAAGAACTCCACTCATTGAGAAGTCAATTCGGTGTTGCTTAGTGACTACTATTTACCGTTTTACATACAGATTTAAAAACCTGTCCTTTGGACCTAACTTAGCAAATCAACACTATATATTTATTTCTCAATGAATTAGTTCTAGAATAGACTGCTAAAGAAGATAAAGTAGATAAAATCTAACATAATTGCAATGGCAAGTCATGTCATATTTTAGAATTAAAAAGGTATCTCTAGTTACTTAAAAATGATTCTTTCCTTTAGAACAATTGAGAACATATTTTCCCTTTTATCTGCAACGCCTAGACAATTTCCAAGTTAACATTTCTTTTTTCTTTTCCTCTCGGTAACCATTTTTGATTTTTATCACCGCTAACCTTTCATCTCTACCAAGTCTTCCCAGACCACAGCCCCTCTGTCAGCAGCACAGAGTGGAGAAGTGAGACACCTAGAATGGCAGGCGGGTGGAGGGCAAGAGAATTCCTTCCGCGGCTATCACTGACACACTTTGCAGTTTCCGCTGTTGCAAAATCAGCAATACCAAACGATTGCCCAGCGTTCTTATATTCACTATGTAGTAATAAACATCTTTTTGCTACCAATTATCAGTGACATGTAGGAGATATTTTTGTTTCTTGTCTTTTAGTTTACAAGTGTCCAGTGCTGCCCTTAAATGTAGGAGTTTTAAGAGTAATTGAAGCAGTCTGTTTGGGGGCATATAATTCACTGGTGCTGTGAAAAGATAATTTTTAACAATTTAGGTTATTTCTACAAAATTTAGCTGACCTTTTTTACAGCAACAATTAATAGTTCCAGATAGTGTTTTGATTGCTACATGGGCCCCCCCCTTTATTAAAATGGGCATTAAACTTAAATAGAAACATTTTGAATCCTGCTGCTTCTAGTGCATTAGAATAAGTAGTAGTTCCCTCACCTTTCTTCTGAACTATCATCAGGATACAATTACCATGTAAACTATATTCAAGTCTCTTTTTACATTTCCCCCCATAGGTATGAGTATTGTCTCGTGTTTACACAGTCACATTTTTAATCCTTTTTAGGAGGAGCCAAATGTCAACTCCAACTCTTGAAGAAGAGCCTGCTAGCAGTCCTGCTTCTTGGGATTTTGTGGACCCAACCCAAAGAGTCAACTGTTCCTGCTCTCGGTAGGTAGCCGAAAAGGCGGGACAGGCACCGGATAGCACAGCCGCGCATTTTGTTGCCTGTCTCCCGGCCTCTCAGACCCTCCCTTTCCCATTGTTTTGCTTTGTTTTAAATTGTCTTCTTCCTCCAGTAGAGAAGAAAAAGATTTGTCTTTCCATATATGCAAGTGATAGTTTTATTGTCAGGACTCAGAAAAGAGCCTTTTTGGACAGCCAGTCCTGTTATGAATTTGCCCCCACAAATGTCTTCAGGGTAGCGCTGGCAAAACTGAAGGCATCAGTTTGAGAGGACAATCTCTTGCCCTTTAAATGAGTTTATTTAATGACTCTTAGTTTTGAAGTAGAGATAAGTATTAAACAAGTTGGCTTGAGTTAATAGAATTTGGATTAAATAGACCTTCCATAGATCATTTGTTTTTTAGTGGTGGTGCTGCTGTTTTTTGATGATTGACACAGGTATTTATAACAACACCTGCCAAAAGCTAAGATTCTTGCTCGTTTATTTAGACATTTTGATAGGACCCAAATTTTCTGTAGAAAAGTTTCGCACTCTTCGTGGATATTTCCTTGACTCATTGTTGTGGTAAAGAATCTTCTTGTCATGGGTTTTCATGAGGGTTCTTAACTAGGGCTACAGATAGTCTGTAGCCCTAATCTCCAGCTCAGTTGACTGTTAGAACCTGTGTTGCTGACTATTCACTTAATGAGCAACTTAAAGTAGCTTTGCTGCCAAAGCATATGTTTTCACCTTGGATGCTGCTCAATACCGTACTTAGAAAAAGTTCAGTTGAGATAACTATATTTAGAATATGGCCATTCATTTCTCTAGTTTAGATTGGGGTTCTTAATGTGGCAGAAATGAATTGGCTTTGGAGAAGGGGGGTGGTCAGCATGTCCTCTGAGAATATGTGTGTGTGTGTGTGTGTGTGTGTGTGTGTGTGTGTGCGCGCGCACACGTGCACTTATACAGCCATTTTGGCACCTTTTTCCTGTCTTCCCTTCCTCCTTAAGTTGATCCTCTTTTATCAAGCTCTGCCTTGGTAGTCAGCTTTTTGTTGAGAGATGCTGTAAATATCAGCCTAATGAAACTCGTGATTGATTTTTCAAGGAGGATGTTTTTGAAGGAGCTATTTGCTCATTAAGGGACCTATCTCTGAACATGTGAGAATCTCTCTCTAGTCTCAGGATAAATGTGGTATACCAGTTGAATACCTGTTTTACTTTTGTCTCTAGGCCAGCGGTTCTCAACCTGTGGGTCGCGACTCCTTTGGGGGTCGAACGACCCTTTCACAGGGGTCTCCTAAGACCATCGGAAAACAAAAAGATACTTNAAAAAAAAAAAAAATCTGATGATAAGAATGTTGAAGACACTTTCTAAAGTGAATCTCTGGCTGGGGAATCACATTTTATCTATATATTTTTTGGCCACCTTTTACCTTTGATAAAAATGATCAAGGTGGATGAAACTTTGAAAACTGAGATATGGCACTGTGTTAGGTAGCATCAAAGAAGTTCAGTAGCCCTAAGTGGAAAATGCCTTTATTATATTTTCTAGAAAATTTTAAAACTAATGAAATGCTTTTTTGGTACAATGTTGTACCATAGCCAGGTTACTTATAAGTGAAAAAAAGGCTCTGTTTTAAGTTCATTGTCATGTTAACTCAAAGAGAATTTACACAGTTTCTGTATTTTCCAAATATCTACTCAATGATTAATATCTATAATGTGAGTTTGAAGATTTTGTGAAGCAGACTCATAGTTTTAAAAATTATACTTACAAGTTAATTTTATATTAAATTGACTAGTAGCTGCTTTTTGGGTTGGGAAAAAGAGTAGGAACTCAAGGTTACAGGTGATGGATGTATTTCAGGTGTAACCTAATTATACCAGTATACATATTCTAAGAGATGTTATCTTTTTTACATTTTTTTGGGCACCTGGCACCCTCTATATTCAAGGCTTCAGCTTTGTTTTAAAGAAAACTTAGAATCGGTCTGATTGCTACATTTGAAGTCTTTTTCCACCTCAGAATTATCAGTTATATAGTATCTCTGGTGGTTCTCTGATAATTCCTGGCTTGACTTGTATTGTATACCAGTTCTATAAATTGTTACATTCCTTAAGGGTAAAGTATTGTCATAGCAGGAAGGTGCCTTGAAGATCAACTTGGGGATCTTAGCTTTATTCTTGTTTTTTTCTTAGCAGCAGGTACCATTCTGTTTAATGAAATCTCATACAGAATTCTATTATAGAAAATAAATGGAACTGGAGCTTCTCTAATGGAAGTGAAAGTTGGGATCTGAAACCCTGTTTATTGGCCCCTGCCTCCCGATGTTTTATAGATAAGCACCTGAGGCCACGCAAGGGTAAATTATTGAGAATTATATAATTGTCTAACTAGGAAACATGGTAAAGGTCATCTAATCCAGAGCTTCTCACCTTTTTGCTGACTCCATATGGTGGAGGCTTTCTCCTTCCCTATAAACAAAGGAGAGAAAGAAAACCTGGTGAGACTCACACATCTAGAGTCAAGCCTTCCTTTTCAGATGAAGGAACTGAGGACCCAAGAGAGGAAGTGACCCGACCCTACCAATGCTGTGCTGGGAGCACCTCGGCCTGGGGCACAGAGCGTGATGCAGTTATTCTTTATGTGTCTCTGATTCCAAGCTAGAAGTCATATGTCAGTCTGTTAAGCAGCTGCTATTTGCCTGCTTAAATGTTTTCCAAATCACTGGTCCAAACTTGTGGCTCCAAATTTGTGAATGAACTTACTGTACAAGACACCCCCTAGTGGCTGAGTTTCACAACTGCAACTTGTGTTTCATTCCGTTCACTTCAGCTTTAAGAATCTGCCTTAATGAGCCACTGTTATGATGATGGTTAACCTCAGGTATATGAAAATGGTTTTTTCAAAAAAAGGTTGAGCATCACTGTTCTAAGTATTTCTTAAAGGATAATTTTTTTCCCCAGTTGATTCTCAGTAAATTATCTTTTGGTTGTTGGTAGGTTTGTTAGTCATAACTATGAAGTTTCATTTTAATGTCAATTTGGAAAGAGAAAAGTGTGGAACCATTTCCCCAAAGAGCACTGTGGATCTGTCAAAGTAGCGAGTAGCCCTAATAACATATAAACCACCATTATAGCTCGAAACAGTTTTTATTTTCTGTAATATAATGGCTGATGGATTTCCCATGTAAGA